TCTACGACAACGTTATTGAAATTAGGTGTAAATATCAGGACAAAACTTAATCTATTCCTACGACAAACCCAATAAGGTTAAACTTGTGCAAAATAGAGGTATTTTATGGGGACCATGAACCTAGGCACATAATTTGTTTTGCAACACGTACCTCTATATCAATACTTGCAATTAGTATAGAGAAAACGACCAGAATTTGTCCTGTTCGTGAACATAGGAAATCAACAAAACCATATCCCCACAATATTTTCATGTGAGTGTGGTCCATGAGGTTTTGACCCTGCTTCTCGACGCCGCTACAAGTCTATATTACATCCCATTACATTGTAAATATTCATTCCTCTCTACGACATGCCTCGATATACAAAAGGAATAATGTACTTATTTCATTATAAACTTATATATCTATTTATTTGTTTACCTGTTTGTTTCTTTCAGGTAAAAATGCTGATGACTGTGGAGCCAGTCCGCAGCTATGTGATGCTAACGCGGTTTGTGGAAACATCGCTGATTCCCATATTTGCATCTGCAAGACTGGATTCGCGGAAATGGAAAGATATGCGCTGGTAGTCGTTAAATAATTTGTTGTTTATGATGATTTAACTAACGTTTCAATCATAAAAGGCCATTACGGCGAATTTTGTTTCCTAAGTTCACTGCAGTCGGTTTAAATAATCATCAGAGATTGGAATAATTAAGGAATATTCTCAACTTCATTGCATAACTATATATTGAATGTCGAATTCCTTCTTAAGGGTATGTCAATAACATGTACACATCTATATCTGTATCCTACCCTTGGAGCTAATAACAGCTGTTTTTGAGCGAGTTAGCTTAACCCTACTTGGATAAGTTTATGTACTGAGTAACGCTTTTTACGAAACTTTTTTTTAATCCAAAATTTGACATTTGGTTTCTTTAACAAACTCACATAAACGGCGCGCGGATTATTGATCCAAATGATCCAAGCCGGAAGAAGATCGATTCTTTAGAACCGCGATCCGAAACGCTTTTTTCCTCCGAATCTACAAAGAGTAAATACAGCCAGCGATAATGAGAAAAATTTTTCATAAGCAGGAGAACTATTCGACTTTGTCGCATATCTGGACCGCAAAGAAGTACGGGCGTTGGTGACCACTTAAACAATCGCCTTTACACTTCCGACGCCACGTGCTGATTTTTCGTAAGACTAGTCTTCGTTTGGCTGATAATAAGTTGTGTGCTTCAGCTTAATTATCCCCCTGAAGAAATCAAAGATCAGAAAACTCGCAGTACATCAGACGTGGCGTTATTTTCTAAATTCGCCGAAAGCGCATGATAGTGGGTATTTCTATAGATTGTAAATGATCCACTTTTGGTAACCTGCGAAGCAAGTGTTTCCGTGCGGTCTTGAAGCAAAGAACGAGGAACGAGAGTCAAAGACAGCCTGAAAAATGGCGCGAGTAAAAGAGCTCTCGTTTCAATTCTCGCGCAGCCAAAACCGAAAATCCCGTTCCTATGTCTTTCACTGCTCTGAAACCAACCGGAAACGCTTGCTACGCAGGCTACAGTTTTGGAAACATCGTTTCTTTCTCAAATCAAAAATTCTAATCAAGTGATTTGAATTTTTTATATGATCATGGATTTTCATTTTGGAAAAGAAACTTCTTTATTATATAAACACCAATGAAATACCAGGTGAGCTTTCGCGCGAAAACATGATATCTTCACACGTGAAAATAACATGTTATTTTCACATGCGAAAATATCACCGTTGCTATGGCTACATAATAACTCGCGCCTTTCGCAGAATAAAACTGTTTCAGCGAAATGGTTTTGTATTTCATTGGTGTTTATATAATAAATAGAACATTACATGGTTGCTTGGAGATACGAAATTTCTCTTCTCGTGTTGAAAATATTTCACTCGTTCGCTGCGCTCATTCGTGAAACATTTTTCAACACTCGAAGAGAAATTTTGTATCTCCGTGCGGCCATGTAATATCCTCTATATCTCTTATATATCTCCATGTTTCTTTGTCTGTTGCCTGCTCAAAGAGCTCGGTTATCGTTTATCAATTCCCATCCCCCCACCCCCCAACCTCGCCCACCACTCCGTTCCCTTCATAACGTTTTGGAAACATCGTTTCTTTCTCTAATCCAAAATTCTAATCAAGAGATTTGAATTTTTTCATACGATTATGGATTTTGGTAAAGAAACTTCTATCTCTCATGTATCTCCTTGAATCTTTCCCTGTTGCCTGCTCAAAGAGCTCAGTTATCAACTCAACCCCCACCCCCCCGCCCCCCACCCCTCCACCACTCAATTCAGATACAATTGGAAAGGCATCATACTCATGATTTCGGCTATCCTTTTAAATAATTTCTTTTTTTATGTTGTTTGTAGACCTAAACGAATGCACTATGAACACGCACAACTGCAATGCCAACAACTACTGTAATAATACCATTGGATCTTTCACCTGCACCTGCAAACCAGGATTCTCTGGAAACGGAATTT